TGCTACACAGAAGTTTCCTCTACACTCAGATGTTGTACTTGAGTAAACGTAGAAGTACTCAAATATTGTACTTGAGTAAAAGTAGAAGTACTCAGATCTTGTACTTGAGTAAAAGTAGAAGTACTCAGATCTTGTACTTGAGTAAAAGTAGAAGTACTCAGATCTTGTACTTGAGTAAAAGTAGAAGTACTCCAGATCTTGTACTTTATAAAAGAGAAGTAAACTCAGATCTTGGGTACTTGAGTAAAAGCATGAAGTACTCAGATCGTGTACTTGAGTAAAAGTGAATTACTCAGATCTTGAGTAAACGTAGAAGTACTCAGATCTTGAGTAAAAGTAGAAGTCCCAGATCTTGTACTTGAGATAAAAGTAGAAGTAACTCAGGTCTTGTATCTTGAGTAAAGTAGAAGTACTCAGATCTTGTACTTGAGTAAAAGCAGAAGTACTCAGATCGTGTACTTGAGTAAAAGTAGAAGTACTCAGGATCTTGTACTTGAGTAAAAGGCCAGAAGTACTCAGATCGTGTACTTGAGTAAAAGTAGAAGTACTGAGATCTTGTTACTTGATTAAACAGTAGAAGTAACTCAGATCGTGTACTTGAGTACACGTAAGTAAGTAGAAGTACTCAGATCTTGTACTTGAGTAAAAGTAGAAGTACTCAGATCTTGTACTTGAGTAAAAGTAGAAGTACTCAGATCTTGTTCTTGAGTAAAAGTAGAAGTACTCAGATCTGTACTTGAGTAAACGTAGAAGTACTCAGATCTTGTACTTGAGTAAAAGTAGAAGTACTCAGATCTTGTACTTGAGTAAAGTAGAAGTACTCAGATCTTGTACTTGAGTAAAGTAGAAGTACTCAGATCTAGTACTTGAGTAAACGTAGAAGTACTCAGATCTTGTACTTGAGTAAAAGTAGAAGTACTCAGATCTTGTTCTTGAGTAAAAGTAGAAGTACTCAGATCTTGTACTTGAGTAAAAGTAGAAGTACTCAGATCTAGTACTTGAGTAAACGTAGAAGTACCCAGATCTTGTACTTGAGTAAAAGTAGAAGTACTCAGGTCTTGTACTTGAGTAAAAGTAGAAGTACTCAAATATTGTACTTGAGTAAACGTAGAAGTACTCAGATCTTGTACTTGAGTAAAAGTAGAAGTACTCAGATCTAGTACTTGAGTAAACGTAGAAGTACTCAGATCTTGTACTTGAGTAAAAGCAGAAGTACTCAGATCGTGTACTTGAGTAAAAGTAGAAGTACTCAGATCTTGAGTAAAAGTAGAAGTACTCAGATCTTGAGTAAAAGTAGAAGTACTCAGATCTTGTACTTGAGTAAAAGTAGAAGTACTCAAATATTGTACTTGAGTAAACGTAGAAGTACTCAGATCTTGTACTTGAGTAAACGTAGAAGTACTCAGATCGTGTACTTGAGTAAACGTAGAAGTACACAAATATTGTACTTGAGTAAAAGTAGAAGTACTCAGATCGTGTACTTGAGTAAAAGTAGAAGTACACAAATATTGTACTTGAGTAAACGTAGAAGTACTCAGATCGTGTACTTGAGTAAAAGTAGAAGTACTCAGATCTAGTACTTGAGTAAAAGTAGAAGTACTCAGATCGTGTACTTGAGTAAAAGTAGAAGTACACAAATATTGTACTTGAGTAAACGTAAAAGTACTCAGATCGTGTACTTGAGTAAAAGTAGAAGTACTCAGATCTTGTACTTGAGTAAAAGCAGAAGTACTCAGATCGTGTACTTGAGTAAAAGTAGAAGTACTCAGATCTTGAGTAAACGTAGAAGTACTCAGATCTTGAGTAAAAGTAGAAGTACTCAGATCTTGTACTTGAGTAAAAGCAGAAGTACTCAGATCTTGAGTAAAAGTAGAAGTACCCAGATCTTGTACTTGAGTAAAAGTAGAAGTACTCAGGTCTTGTACTTGAGTAAAAGTAGAAGTACTCAAATATTGTACTTGAGTAAACATAGAAGTACTCAGATCTTGTACTTGAGTAAAAGTAGAAGTACTCAGATCTAGTACTTGAGTAAACGTAGAAGTACTCAGATCTTGTACTTGAGTAAAAGCAGAAGTACTCAGATCGTGTACTTGAGTAAAAGTAGAAGTACTCAGATCTTGAGTAAACGTAGAAGTACTCAGATCTTGAGTAAATGTAGAAGTACTCAGATCTTGAGTAAAAGCAGAAGTACCCAGATCTTGTACTTGAGTAAAAGTAGAAGTACTCAGGTCTTGTACTTGAGTAAAAGTAGAAGTACTCAAATATTGTACTTGAGTAAACGTAAAAGTACTCAGATCTTGTACTTGAGTAAAAGTAGAAGTACTCAGATCTTGTACTTGAGTAAACGTAGAAGTACTCAAATATTGTACTTGAGTAAAAGTAGAAGTACTCAGATCTTGTACTTGAGTAAAAGTAGAAGTAGCCTACTCAGATCTTGTACTTGATTAAAAGTAGAAGTACTCAGATGTTGTACTTGAGTAAAAGTAGAAGTACTCAGATCTTGTACTTGAGTAAAAGTAGAAGTACTCAGATCTTGTACTTGAGTAAAAGTAGAAGTACTCAGATCTTGTACTTGAGTAAAAGTAGAAGTACTCAGATCTTGTACTTGAGTAAAAGTAGAAGTACTCAGATGTTGTACTTGAGTAAAAGTAGAAGTACTCAGATCTTGTACTTGAGTAAAAGTAGAAGTACCAGAGTGTAGGAATACTCTGTTACAGTAAAAGTCCTGCATTCAAAATGTTCCTCAAGTGAAAGTAGAAAAGTATTCTCATCTAAATATAGTGAAAGTAGCGACAGTGAAAGTAGTCGTTGTGCAGATTGGTCCATTTCAGAATAATATATATGATATGTTTTATAATGATTGATCATGAAAGTGTTCTCAAAGCTGGTGAAGGTGCAGCTAGTTTGAAGTACTTTGTATACTGCAGGGTAGCTGGAGGATTTACTCCAGGTGGAACTAAAGTCTGATTCAACACTTGATTAGATTTCACATCATTCATCCAGATCTGAGAAGTAACTAAAGGGATTAAATACATGTAGTGGAGGAAAAGTACACAGTAGCATAACATGGTAATACTCAAGTAAAGTACCTCAAACTTGTATGTAAGTTCAGTACTTGAGTAAATGTATTTAGTTACTTCTCTGTAGTGATTGTAATGGCTTACATGTGTAAAGTGACCCTCTCTGTGTCTGGTAACCATGCAGAGCATCAACAGCTCTCTTTGTCGTCTGCAGCCTTTGTTCTGCACACTTTAAAATCTTTACTGGAGCGGGAATCGCCCAGAGGAGAGTCATTACGAGTCAAGGGCAAAGAGCCGCGAGTGTGAGGAGCGGGGGGCCGTAAAACACTTTAAACACCACGAAAAAACACAGGATTTAATCCCATTCAAACACAGAGAACGTCCCAGAACAGCCACGTGTCCCAAAGCCTCATCCAGGCACTCGGTACGTGGGAATATCAATTCAAAGTGTGACTTTTATACGTTGGATTTACAAGATCATTTCCCAAGACGCTGGAGCTGGAGCTGTTTTGTCGTGTAAATCAGACGGCGCGGGCTGGATTGGGATGGCATTGTTTTGGACAGTAAAAAGTCAATGGCTTCCTTCCTGAAATAAAACCCAATAAAAACACGGGACAAAAACAGCTGTCGGAACAACATCCATGTGTTTATTCCTGAATGCTCGGAGGAGATCTCAACCCTCTGTTTTCTACTTTACAGAGAGGTTCGTACATGATAGCGCTAACACAGAAAGTCTGTTTTACAAATGTCAGAAATGGAGATTTCCCTCGTTTGGTACCATTTAAAAAGTGAATATCTTTTGGATTGTAACTAAAAAACACATGTAACAACATTACCGTGGACTTTAAAAAACAAGGATGGACATTTACACTCTTTTACCACATTTAAAACCAAATCTAGAAAATAATCAGCCAATTAATCGATATTTAAACTTACATTTAGTTTCAACCCCTGTGTATAAATCCATATATTTCATAAAACAAGCAACATTCCTGAACACGATGTAGTCAACATGTGACCATCGAACACAGCAGACGTTAAATATAATACCAGATGTGTTGCAGCCTGCTGTCCGTCACCTGATGACATGTCCTTTTGGGAAAGTTAGTTCATATCAAAAAAGTTTAAATGTGCAAAATCAGAGTTTTCTATCAGAAGCACTGTTTGAAGAGTGTGTGTGTCTTCTGCAGGTGTGTGTGTGTGTCTTCTGCAGGTGTGTGTGTGTGTCTTCTGCAGGTGTGTGTGTCTTCTGCAGGTGTGTGTGTCTTCTGCAGGTGTGTGTGTCTTCTGCAGGTGTGTGTGTGTCTTCTGCAGGTGTGTGTGTCTTCTGCAGGTGTGTGTGTCTTCTGCAGGTGTGTGTGTATCTTCTGCAGGTGTGTGTGTGTATCTTCTGTAGGTTAAGGTGACCAGATTTTCAAAATTAAAACCGGGGACATTTTGAGTTTTGCGGTCAATATTTAATTAACATCCAATTTTCTTCACTGTTAAAGAAAAAAGGGGGACAATTCTGGTTCAATGTAATTCGAACATTTGAACTGTTGGATACAAACAAAAGGACGACAGCTCATATATGAGACTTCAAAGGTCTTTTATTTTGAAACTGTACATCAGATTGATTCTCTCTGAGTGACTAGATGGGTGTCCTGCTGCTATCACCCTGGAGTGAAATGCGTCTTTGATACTGGATAGTTTTTGTTTTATTCTTATCTAAAAACAGAGGGATGATAGCCCATATATGAGATTTCAAAAGTATTTTATTTTGAAATTCTACATCAGATTGTCCTGATGTTCTCTGATTGACTAGATGGGGTCTCCTGCTGCTATCTCCCTGAAGTGAAATAAGTATTTGATTGACTTCGAATGGCTCTTTGATTATGGACACTTTCCATTAAATAATAATCAAAATATAGATGGACAATAGATCTCATTTGAGATTTTAAACAGCATACATTTTAAATTGTCACCCAGTGGAAATGTCAGATATGTCTTCATAACTGTATACTTACATTTTACATTCACTCAGTTATAATGTGGTAGTTATACGTAGTTTGTTTTAAATTATTATTGATCACATTATATTGTACATATTTCTTAATTTAAGCTCCAACATGAATATGTTTGGTGTGTTTTTTAGGTATATTTGTTATTGACCAAGTAAACGCTTTTATTTTGAAGGCAGTTTTTACAGGCCTCTACCGTAATACATAGGATATTCGCGCACCGCAATACAACGTGAGGGTTGGCTTGACCACAGTCTGTTTACCAAGTGTTTCCTGACATGAAACATTTTATTTCACCTTGCTATGTGTTTTTAACGTATATTAAAAAACGGGGACATTTCCGGGGACAGTTTCAACCGGGGACAGGCCAATAAAAACGGGGACTGTCCCCGGAAAACGGGGACGTCTGGTCACCCTACTGTAGGTGTGTGTGTATCTTCTGTAGGTGTGTGTGTGTGTCTTCTGCAGGTGTGTGTGTGTGTGTGTATCTTCTGTAGGTGTGTGTGTGTGTCCAGGTGTTCACATGGACTCCAGATGTTCTTCAGTAAACAGATCAGCCAGGTCGGCCACCGTCAGCACGGCGGCCTCCGAGTGCTTCATAGTGGTGGTGTGGCTGGATTAAAAAGAGAGGAAGATTTGATCAGTTATTTAATTCATCTGTACAACCCTTTAAAGTCAACAAGCCTCTAAACCAATGGCTGTTGATCACTACAATTACATTCAAAATGTGTCTACAAAGTCCTCAAAAACCGATGCTTCCTAAAACCTATTTTAAGTTTAAAAAACTGTTGTGAGGAGAGGCTAGTCTGTTGTTAGCTAGTCTGTTGTTAGCTAGTCTGTTTTTTAGCTAGTCTGTTTTTTAGCTAGTCTGTTGTTAGCTAGTCTGTTGTTAGCTAGTCTGTTTTTTAGCTAGTCTGTTTTTTAGCTAGTCTGTTTTTTAGCTAGTCTGTTGTTAGCTAGTCTGTTGTTAGCTAGTCTGTTGTTAGCTAGTCTGTTGTTTAGCTAGTCTGTTTTTTAGCTAGTCTGTTGTTAGCTAGTCTGTTTTGTAGCTAGTCTGTTAGCCAGTCTGTTGTTAGCTAGTCTGTTAGCTAGTCTGTTGTTAGCTAGTCTGTTGTTAGCTAGTCTGTTGTTAGCTAGTCTGTTGTTAGTAGAGGCTAGTCTGTTGTTAGCTAGTCTGTTGTTAGCTAGTCTGTTGTTAGTAGAGGCTAGTCTGTTGTTAGCTAGTCTGTTGTTAGCTAGTCTGTTGTTAGCCAGTCTGTTGTTAGCTAGTCTGTTGTTAGCTAGTCTGTTGTTAGCTAGTCTGTTTTTTAGCTAGTCTGTTGTTAGCTAGTCTGTTGTTAGCTAGTCTGTTTTTTAGCTAGTCTGTTAGCCAGTCTGTTGTTAGCTAGTCTGTTAGCTAGTCTGTTGTTAGCTAGTCTGTTGTTAGCTAGTCTGTTGTTAGCTAGTCTGTTGTTAGCTAGTCGGTTGTTAGCTAGTCTGTTGTTAGTAGAGGCTAGTCTGTTGTTAGCTAGTCTGTTGTTAGCTAGTCTGTTGTTAGTAGAGGCTAGTCTGTTGTTAGCTAGTCTGTTGTTAGCTAGTCTGTTGTTAGTAGAGGCTAGTCTGTTGTTAGCTAGTCTGTTGTTAGCTAGTCTGTTGTTAATAGAGGCTAGTCTGTTGTTAGCTAGTCTGTTGTTAGCTAGTCTGTTGTTAGTAGAGGCTAGTCTGTTGTTAGTAGAGGCTAGTCTGTTGTTAGCTAGTCTGTTGTTAGTAGAGGCTAGTCTGTTGTTAGTAGAGGCTAGTCTGTTGTTAGCTAGTCTGTTGTTAGTAGAGGCTAGTCTGTTGTTAGCTAGTCTGTTGTTAGCTAGTCTGTTGTTAGCTAGTCTGTTGTTAGTAGAGGCTAGTCTGTTGTTAGCTAGTCTGTTGTTAGCTAGTCTGTTGTTAATAGAGGCTAGTCTGTTGTTAGCTAGTCTGTTGTTAGCTAGTCTGTTGTTAGCTAGTCTGTTGTTAGTAGAGGCTAGTCTGTTGTTAGTAGAGGCTAGTCTGTTGTTAGCTAGTCTGTTGTTAGCTAGTCTGTTGTTAATAGAGGCTAGTCTGTTGTTAGCTAATCTGTTGTTAGCTAGTCTGTTGTTAGTAGAGGCTAGTCTGTTGTTAGTAGAGGCTAGTCTGTTGTTAGCTAGTCTGTTGTTAGTAGAGGCTAGTCTGTTGTTAGCTAGTCTGTTGTTAGTAGAGGCTAGTCTGTTGTTAGCTAGTCTGTTGTTAGCTAGTCTGTTGTTAATAGAGGCTAGTCTGTTGTTAGCTAATCTGTTGTTAGCTAGTCTGTTGTTAGTAGAGGCTAGTCTGTTGTTAGTAGAGGCTAGTCTGTTGTTAGCTAGTCTGTTGTTAGTAGAGGCTAGTCTGTTGTTAGCTAGTCTGTTGTTAGTAGAGGCTAGTCTGTTGTTAGCTAGTCTGTTGTTAGTAGAGGCCAATCAGTTTTGTATCAGTACCCAGTCTGTTGTTAGCTATGGTGGACTGGCCATCGAGACGTTCAGGACGAATCCCGATGGGCCGGTACCGAAGTAGGCCGGTCTCACGATGTGGGCCGGTCGGATAAGTCACTAGGCACCCCCCCCCCGTTGACAATTTACAAGTTGTACTGAAGTAGGCCGGTCTCACGAAGTGGGCCGGTCGAGATGCCCGGGCTGATTTTTAGTCCCAGTCCGCCCCTGACTGTTAGTATTAGTATGTTTACCAGTCAACCCAGTCTCACAACATTTCGTGTTATAGTCACGAAATTAATCTATTGATTCGTGTTCACCAACACGATTTCCCCCTTTTTTCCGTGTCACACAGAACGATTTTTAAAGCAATGTAAATAATAACAAATTAGAAGGAAAAAAAGATTTAAAAAAATACAGATTTCAGTATTCTTAGGCTCTGAGCCGCATTATACCATTTAAAATAAACAATAATGGTGGCTTGATATTGAGTAAGAACATGTTTTTATGAACCCCACAGCTTCCGGTCTTCCAAGACCCGACCGGACAAAAAGATGTGGTGCAGGCACGAAACACACTACCAATAGAAATACATTGCTTTTAGTGACACGAAAAAAAGGGGAAAATTGTGACGGTGAACACGAATCAATAGATACAATTTATTTCGTGAGTATTACACGACATGCCGTGAGACTGGGTTGCAAGAGTTTCCTCCGGTATAAATAAAGTCTTTGGTTAGCCCATGTGAGGAGAAGCTAGTGCGATAATAATGAGGTCACAGTAAGTTAATAATTGACTTTATTTTGTGACTTTATTCACCTTTTCTCTGCTGTCTTCATCATCGCCTGCATCCTCTCTTCAATGGTGGATTTAATGAGGAATCTGTGGACAAACGTTGGCCTGATGGACAGAAAACAACAGCTTAAATCACACAACATGGAAGACATCATGGAAGTCACATCAATAAGTGTCATATTAAAGTACTAATGCACAGGTAACACCCATGACTGACTGCTTTAGTATTACTTTTACCAAGTAAAGGAGTACCACTAGTAAATGCACACACACATAGCTAGTCTTTCTAGTATAACTAATAACGATTTATATCAAAATAATAGTGATTTTACACCAGTTTTATGATAAAAGAACTGGTGTCTGATTTGACAGAAAATTGCACATAAAACCCCAAAACCTCCCTCCTATTGACTCCTAGCCAGCATGCTCACACCAGATGAGGCTCTAAGCTTCCTGAAGAGCTCCTGTGTTATATATGTTCCCTTCTGCACTCACTTGGTCTGCCCGATGCGGTGCACCCTCCCGATGGCCTGCAGCTCATGGGCCGGGTTGAGGATCGGCTCCACCAGCAGAACATGGGTCGCCTCGATGATGTTCAGACCGTTAGAGCCGGTGTGCAGAGGCAGCAGCAGGATGTTGATCTGCTCCTCGTATTTAAAGGAGCACAGATTATCCTGCAGAATGACAGTCAATGCACACGTTATCAACAGTGAAGGGATTTCAGGCATGTGCAGAATTAGTGTTAGTATTCTTTTTATTTTATTTTTTTGGTTGTTTGTTCTCTCTTTGTAGTCATTTTGTGTCTCTTTGAAGTTCTTTAGTGTCTCTTTGAAGTCCTTTTGTGTCTCTTTGAAGTCATTTAGTGTCTCTTTGTAGTCATTTTGTGTCTCTTTGTAGTCATTTTGTGTCTCTTTGAAGTCATTTTGTGTCTCTTTGTAGTCATTTAGTGTCTCTTTGTAGTCATTTTGTGTCTCTTTGTAGTCATTTTGTGTCTCTTTGAAGTTCTTTAGTGTCTCTTTGAAGTCATTTTGTGTCTCTTTGAAGTCCTTTTGTGTCTCTTTGAAGTCATTTTGTGTCTCTTTGTAGACATTTAGTGTCTCTTTGTAGTCGTTTTGTGTCTCTTTGTAGTCATTTTGTGTCTCTTTGAAGTCATTTTGTGTCTCTTTGTAGACATTTAGTGTCTCTTTGTAGTCGTTTTGTGTCTCTTTGTAGTCATTTTGTGTCTCTTTGAAGTCATTTTGTGTCTCTTTGAAGTTCTTTAGTGTCTCTTTGAAGTCATTTTGTGTCTCTTTGTAGACATTTTGTGTCTCTTTGAAGTCCTTTTGTGTCTCTTTGAAGTCATTTTGTGTCTCTTTGAAGTCATTTAGTGTCTCTTTGTAGACATTTTGTGTCTCTTTGTAGACATTTTGTGTCTCTTTGTAGTCATTTTGTGTCTCTTTGAGGTTCTTTAGTGTCTCTTTGAAGTCATTTTGTGTCTCTTTGTAGTAATTTTGTGTCTCTTTGAAGTCATTTAGTGTCTCTTTGTAGACATTTTGTGTCTCTTTGTAGACATTTTGTGTCTCTTTGTAGTCATTTTGTGTCTCTTTGTAGTCCTTTTGTGTCTCTTTTAAGTCATTTTGTGTCTCTTTGAAGTCATTTTGTGTCTCTTTGTAGTCATTTTGTGTCTCTTTGAAGTCATTTTGTGTCTCTTTGTAGTCCTTTTGTGTCTCTTTGAAGTCCTTTTGTGTCTCTTTGTAGTCATTTTGTGTCTCTTTGAAGTTCTTTAGTGTCTCTTTTTAGTCCTTTTGTGTCTCTTTCAAGTCCTTTTGTGTCTCTTTGTAGTCCCTTTGTGTCTCTTTGAAGTCATTTTGTGTCTCTTTGTAGTCATTTTGTTTCTCTTTGAAGTTCTTTAGTGTCTCTTTGAAGTCCTTTTGTGTCTCTTTGTAGTCATTTTGTGTCTCTTTGTAGTCCTTTAGTGTCTCTTTGAAGTCATTTTGTGTCTCTTTGAAGTTCTTTAGTGTCTCTTTTAAGTCCTTTTGTGTCTCTTTTAAGTCCTTTTGTGTCTCTTTGTAGTCCTTTAGTGTCTCTTTGAAGTCATTTTGTGTCTCTTTGAAGTCATTTTGTGTCTCTTTGTAGACATTTTGTGTCTCTTTGTAGTCCTTTTGTGTCTCTTTGAAGTCATTTAGTGTCTCTTTGAAGTCATTTAGTGTCTCTTTGTAGTCATTTTGTGTCTCTTTGAAGTCATTTTGTGTCTTTTTTAAGTCATTTTGTGTCTCTTTTAAGTCCTTTTGTGTCTCTTTGTAGTCCTTTAGTGTCTCTTTGAAGTCATTTTGTGTCTCTTTGAAGTCATTTTGTGTCTCTTTGTAGACATTTTGTGTCTCTTTTAAGTCATTTAGTGTCTCTTTTAAGTCCTTTTGTGTCTCTTTGTAGTCCTTTAGTGTCTCTTTGAAGTCATTTTGTGTCTCTTTGAAGTTCTTTAGTGTCTCTTTTAAGTCCTTTTGTGTCTCTTTTAAGTCCTTTTGTGTCTCTTTGTAGTCCTTTAGTGTCTCTTTGAAGTCATTTAGTGTCTCTTTGAAGTCATTTTGTGTCTCTTTGTAGTCCTTTAGTGTCTCTTTGAAGTCATTTTGTGTCTCTTTGAAGTCATTTAGTGTCTCTTTGTAGTCATTTAGTGTCTCTTTGTAGTCATTTTGTTTCTCTTTGAAGTCATTTTGTGTCTCTTTGAAGTCATTTAGTGTCTCTTTGTAGTCATTTTGTGTCTCTTTGAAGTCATTTAGTGTCTCTTTGTAGTCATTTTGTGTCTCTCTGTAGTCCTTTTGTGTCTCTTTTAAGTCATTTTGTGTCTTTTTGAAGTCATTTTGTGTCTCTCTGTAGTCCTTTAGTGTCTCTTTGAAGTCATTTTGTGTCTCTTTGAAGTCATTTAGTGTCTCTTTGTAGTCATTTTGTGTCTCTTTGAAGTTCTTTAGTGTCTCTTTGTAGTCCTTTTGTGTCTCTTTGAAGTCATTTTGTGTCTCTTTGTAGACATTTTGTGTCTCTTTGTAGTCCTTTAGTGTCTCTTTGAAGTCATTTTGTGTCTCTTTGAAGTTCTTTAGTGTCTCTTTGAAGTCCTTTTCTGTCTCTTTGTAGTCATTTTGTGTCTCTTTGAAGTCATTTTGTGTCTCTTTGTAGTCATTTTGTGTCTCTTTGTAGACATTTTGTGTCTCTTTGAAGTTCTTTAGTGTCTCTTTGATGTCCTTTTGTGTCTCTATGTAGTCCTTTTGTGTCTCTTTGAAGTCATTTTGTGTCTCTTTGTAGTCCTTTTGTGTCTCTTTGAAGTTCTTTAGTGTCTCTTTGTAGTCCTTTTGTGTCTCTTTGAAGTCATGTTGTGTCTCTTTGTAGTCCTTTTGTGTCTCTTTGAAGTTATTTTGTGTCTCTTTGTAGTCCTTTTGTGTCTCTTTGTAGTCCTTTTGTGTCTCTTTTAAGTCATTTTGTGTCTCTTTGTAGTCCTTTTGTGTCTCTTTGAAGTCATTGTGCACAATTTAGCAAGTGGTTTTAGCCTTGAATACGTTTAAAAAAAGCCGGTCCGCACGTAGGAACTCGTACCTAAATATTTCCTTTTTTCAAAGCTTGTTCATTTTACTCCACTGGTCTTTGGAAGCTAATTACTTTGCAGATTTAGATTCACATAAATAAAACAAATGATTATGGTTTGAATCCAGAAGGAATCTGATCAACATATTCAGTGTTTATCCCCCAAAAGTATTGCTTTGGAGAAAACCTGTCCGGCCTACTCAGAAGTAAATCTGTGAACATTTCCATAAATGTGACCTGCTCTATCGAAATCAGTCGCATTGACCCGAAGACACATTTTGAGTTGTATCCACTGCTGGAAAGAGGAGGTTCCTAGCTTTCTGATGATATCAGGATTGTTGTTGTTGTACTCCAAATACTAAGCGAAATATGTCACATTATATAATGACTGTCACGAGTCTTCACTTTGAGAAAAAGGCCTTCAAAGTTTTCTCTTCTCTGGAATCCATCGATCTGATTGGTTATTAGCAAATTATCAAAATACTACGGAGGGAAGATATTTTCGTTTGGATTACTGGTCTGGGGGAAGCTCGCGAGTGTGTGTGTGTGTGTGTGTGTGTATACGTGTGTGTGTGTGTGTAATTTTGTGTTTGTGTGTATTGTGTTTGTTTCCCGGGGAAAATCCTCAGGAGAAACCCCGGCTGTTGTTCTGCCTGCTGTGATGTCAAGTTACTCCGCTCTCCGCTTGTAATTATGCCGAAGCTTCAAAGTTGTATTTATCATCTGAATTTGCCGAAACAAGTTTAATATTCTGAAAGCCAAGACTTTGTTTATTTGAAATCAGATGAAAACAAACTGTAACGGACCCTGCCGTGTTATCTATGATTACTATACGCTTACATTCATCATGTCAGCGGAGGGAGGGGGGGCGGCGCTGCGGAACAGCAGATTGCGAGTGAGAGCTGTCTTCGTCCCTTCACAAGCTTAAAACATGTATTTATCGTGTGATTTTGGAAATAAAAGTTTCATATTCTGAAAGCCAAGACTTTGTTTATTTAAAATCAAACAAAACACCCGAACACCGAAACAATAGTTTTTTACGCAAATCCACGTTTATTTTGAAATGAGCCGTTGAGACTTCCGACTGATTTCGATAGAGCGGGTCACATATTACGTTTTTTCTTAAGTGCACAAGTGGAAAACCCAACCTGGAGCAGTGGATGCAGGGAATAGTGTGTGTGTGTGTGTGTGTGTGTGTGTGTGTGTTCAGCATATTCATAATGTAGAGACCTGGAACTTGTGGATGCCGTTGATCTGAGAGAACTCCATGTTGTTGTCGAACAAAGCCTTAGAGATGATGTCCAACACACTGAGCCACTGAGAGAGAGAGAGATGTAAAAAGTCTTAAAAGCACCATCTCTCAATGAAATCATCCAGGCTTCCTATTTCTTTAAAGAGAGAGAGAAAGAGAGGGGGGGGGGGGTCGCACACGCACACGCACACACACACACACACACACACACACACACACACACACACACACACACACACACCACACACACACACACACACACACACACACACACACACACACACACACACACACACACACACACACACACACACACACACACACACACACACACACACACACACACACACACACACACACACACACACACACACACACACACACACACACACACACACACACACACACACACACACACACACACACACACACTAGTGTTACCGTGGAGAACACCAGACACTTGGCCCCCGGGTCGATCAACTGGATCTTCTTCAGGGTCCGGACCACGGCCTCCACCTTGGTCGAGTGGCTGCCCTGAAGAACAGAGAGGAAACATGTGAGAGCAGAGCGACACACACTTTAAATACTGCGTTTCTTTTATTCGTCCATGCTGCCGACGACTGAGCGTGAACTGTTTAGATTTGGACAGACATGGATGTAAATTGCAAGTCGTCAGGTCGTCATCCTAGTTTGTCGTTGTTTGTCTTTTCGTGGTCTTTTTGGCGGGTGTTTGTCTCTCTGTATTATTTTCGCATTTCCTTTTCTTCTTTGTAGTCATTTGGTGTCTCTTTGTAGTAATTTGGTGTCTCTCTCTTTGTAGTCCTTTAGTGTCTCTTTGTAGTCCTTTAGTGTCTCTCTGTAGTCCTTAGTGTCTCTTTGTAGTCCTTTAGTGTCTCTCTGTAGTCCTTAGTGTCTCTTTGTAGTCCTTTAGTGTCTCTCTGTAGTCCTTAGTGTCTCTCTGTAGTCCTTTAGTGTCTCTTTGTAGTCCTTAGTGTCTCTTTGTAGTCCTTTAGTGTCTCTTTGTAGTCCTTTAGTGTCTCTTTGTAGTCCTTTAGTGTCTCTTTGTAGTCCTTTAGTGTCTCTCTGTAGTCCTTAGTGTCTCTTTGTAGTCCTTTAGTGTCTCTTTGTAGTCCTTAGTGTCTCTTTGTAGTCCTTTAGTGTCTCTTTGTAGTCCTTTAGTGTCTCTTTGTAGTCCTTTAGTGTCTCTTTGTAGTCATTTGGTGTCTCTTTGTAGTCCTCTATGTCTCCTTGTGTCCCCCGAGCCTCCTCTACCTGTACAGGTATGTCCTGGTCCTGTCCTGAGGCCTGGGTGGTGAACACGTATGAGATCTCGGCGTGAGAGGTGATCTGTCTGCAGACTGCACATCTGATGGCTCTGCGTCTGGAGCCCACGCTGTACTGCTCCACCATGATGGAGATACACTCGTTACAGAAGCAGTGTCCGCAGGTGAGCACCGCCCACTGGGGGGGGGGGGGGGGGGGAAGAGAGAGAGAGAGAGAGAGAGAGAGAGAGAGAGAGAGAGAGAGAGAGAGAGAGAGAAAATTATGCATCTTATTTATAGAGCACTTTTCTACAGGTGAGCACCGCCCGCTGGAGAGAGAGAGAAGTATTCTCTTTATCCTACGGGGTCTCTCACCTCCTTTCCCAGGGGCCGGGCACAGATGGGACACGGCTCGGGGTTCAGCTCTTCGTTGGATTTGTCCTGCGACTGCAACAGAGAGGGGGATTATTTAAATTAGTTTATATTGATATGAGTTATAGATTAGGTGTGTTTGTGATCACCTTCTCCAGGTTATAGATTAGGTGTGTTTGTGATCACCTTCTCCAGGTTATGGATTAGGTGTGTTTGTGATCACCTTCTCCAGGTTGTGGATTAGGTGTGTTTGTGATCACCTTCTCCAGGTTATAGATTAGGTGTGTTTGTGATCACCTTCTCCAGGTTGTGGATTAGGTGTGTTTGTGATCACCTTCTCTAGGTTATGGATTAGGTGTGTTTGTGATCACCTTCTCCAGGTTGTGGATTAGGTGTGTTTGTGATCACCTTCTCCAGGTTGTGGATTAGGTGTGTTTGTGATCACCTTCTCTAGGTTGTGGATTAGGTGTGTTTGTGATCACCTTCTCCAGGTTGTGGATTAGGTGTGTTTGTGATCACCTTCTCCAGGTTATGGATTAGGTGTGTTTGTGATCACCTTCTCCAGGTTGTGGATTAGGTGTGTTTGTGATCACCTTCTCCAGGTTATGGATTAGGTGTGTTTGTGATCACCTTCTCCAGGTTATGGATAGGTGTGTTGTGATCACCTTCTCCAGGTTGTGGAGTAGGTGTGTTTGTGATCACCTTCTCCAGGTTATAGATTAGGTGTGTTTGTGATCACCTTCTCCAGGTTGTGGATTAGGTGTGTTTGTGATCACCTTCTCCAGGTTGTGGATTAGGTGTGTTTGTGATCACCTTCTCTAGGTTATGGATTAGGTGTGTTTGTGATCACCTTCTCCAGGTTATAGATTAGGTGTGTTTGTGATCACCTTCTCCAGGTTATAGATTAGGTGTGTTTGTGATCACCTTCTCCAGGTTATAGATTAGGTGTGTTTGTGATCACCTTCTCCAGGTTGTGGATTAGGTGTGTTTGTGATCACCTTCTCCAGGTTATAGATTAGGTGTGTTTGTGATCACCTTCTCCAGGTTATAGATTAGGTGTGTTTGTGATCACCTTCTCCAGGTTGTGGATTAGGTGTGTTTGTGATCACCTTCTCCAGGTTGTGGATTAGGTGTGTTTGTGATCACCTTCTCTAGGTTATGGATTAGGTGTGTTTGTGATCACCTTCTCCAGGTTGTGGATTAGGTGTGTTTGTGATCACCTTCTCTAGGTTATAGATTAGGTGTGTTTGTGATCACCTTCTCCAGGTTGTGGATTAGGTGTGTTTGTGATCACCTTCTCCAGGTTGTGGATTAGGTGTGTTTGTGATCACCTTCTCTAGGTTGTGGATTAGGTGTGTTTGTGATCACCTTCTCTAGGTTATGGATTAGGTGTGTTTGTGATCACCTTCTCCAGGTTGTGGATTAGGTGTGTTTGTGATCACCTTCTCCAGGTTATAGATTAGGTGTGTTTGTGATCACCTTCTCCAGGTTGTGGATTAGGTGTGTTTGTGATCACCTTCTCTAGGTTATGGATTAGGTGTGTTTGTGATCACCTTCTCCAGGTTGTGGATTAGGTGTGTTTGTGATCACCTTCTCCAGGTTGTGGGATTAGGTGTGTTTGTGATCACCTTCTCTAGGTTGTGGATTAGGTGTGTTTGTGATCACCTTCTCCAGGTTGTGGATTAGGTGTGTTTGTGATCACCTTCTCCAGGTTATGGATTAGGTGTGTTTGTGATCACCTTCTCCAGGTTGTGGATTAGGTGTGTTTGTGATCACCTTCTCCAGGTTATGGATTAGGTGTGTTTGTGATCACCTTCTCCAGGTTATGGATTAGGTGTGTTTGTGATCACCTTCTCCAGGTTGTGGAGTAGGTGTGTTTGTGATCACCTTCTCCAGGTTATAGATTAGGTGTGTTTGTGATCACCTTCTCCAGGTTGTGGATTAGGTGTGTTTGTGATCACCTTCTCCAGGTTGTGGATTAGGTGTGTTTGTGATCACCTTCTCTAGGTTATGGATTAGGTGTGTTTGTGATCACCTTCTCCAGGTTATGGATTAGGTGTGTTTGTGATCACCTTCTCCAGGTTGTGGATTAGGTGTGTTTGTGATCACCTTCTCCAGGTTATAGATTAGGTGTGTTTGTGATCACCTTCTCCAGGTTATAGATTAGGTGTGTTTGTGATCACCTTCTCCAGGTTATAGATTAGGTGTGTTTGTGATCACCTTCTCCAGGTTGTGGATTAGGTGTGTTTGTGATCACCTTCTCCAGGTTATAGATTAGGTGTGTTTGTGATCACCTTCTCCAGGTTATAGATTAGGTGTGTTTGTGATCACCTTCTCCAGGTTGTGGATTAGGTGTGTTTGTGATCACCTTCTCCAGGTTGTGGATTAGTGTGTTTGTGATCACCTTCTCTAGGTTATGGATTAGGTGTGTTTGTGATCACCTTCTCCAGGTTGTGGATTAGGTGTGTTTGTGATCACCTTCTCTAGGTTATAGATTAGGTGTGTTTGTGATCACCTTCTCCAGGTTTGATTAGGTGTGTTTGTGATCACCTTCTCCAGGTTAGGTTATGGATTAGATTAGGTGTGTTTGTGATCACCTTCTCTAGGTTGTGGATTAGGTGTGTTTGTGATCACCTTCTCCAGGTTATGGATTAGGTGTGTTTGTGATCACCTTCTCCAGGTTATGGATTAGGTGTGTTTGTGATCACCTTCTCTAGGTTGTGGATTAGGTGTGTTTGTGATCACCTTCTCCAGGTTATGGATTAGGTGTGTTTGTGATCACCTTCTCCAGGTTATAGATTAGGTGTGTTTGTGATCACCTTCTCCAGGTTGTGGATTAGGTGTGTTTGTGATCACCTTCTCCAGGTTGTGGATTAGGTGTGTTTGTGATCACCTTCTCTAGGTTGTGGATTAGGTGTGTTTGTGATCACCTTCTCTAGGTTATAGATTAGGTGTGTTTGTGATCACCTTCTCCAGGTTATGGATTAGGTGTGTTTGTGATCACCTTCTCCAGGTTATAGATTAGGTGTGTTTGTGATCACCTTCTCTAGGTTATGGATTAGGTGTGTTTGTGATCACCTTCTCCAGGTTGTGGATTAGGTGTGTTTGTGATCACCTTCTCCAGGTTGTGGATTAGGTGTGTTTGTGATCACCTTCTCCAGGTTGTGGATTAGGTGTGTTTGTGATCACCTTCTCCAGGTTGTGGATTAGGTGTGTTTGTGATCACCTTCTCCAGGTTATGGATTAGGTGTGTTTGTGATCACCTTCTCCAGGTTATGGATTAGGTGTGTTTGTGATCACCTTCTCCAGGTTATGGATTAGGTGTGTTTGTGATCACCTTCTCCAGGTTATGGATTAGGTGTGTTTGTGATCACCTTCTCCAGGTTGTTGAGGTAGAGCACCTGGCCCAGCTTCTTCTGCAGCTGAGACTTAGCGAGCGCCTGGTCGTTCAGAAGCTTCTGCTGGTTCTGATCCACCTGAGGGGCACAGACACTTCAGGTAAAATAATGCATCTCATATATTCAGATAACAAGGCGTCTAAAACCTGGTCTGGGGGGGGGGGGCTTTACGATCAATCATTAACGGGGAATTGATTAACTAAGATCAAAACAGACTTAAGCTTATTTTAGTGGCAAAATGTTCAAAAAAGTAAAGTTTGATTTGACGAGTCAGCTTGTTTATTACATTAATTAAATTAAAAAAGTATAAAATAGTGAAGTTTTCTAGGACTTTTTAAATAATATTAGGACATATATAAAATAATATTTTCTTGTGAATATTACATTTTGCAATATATATATTTTTTCAAACTTTTTTCTTTAAATTTACTCAACTAATTATTATTTAGGAGAAAATCCATGTTTTTTTGTAACCTACAATAATTATTTACAGGTTTAGGTTTGTGACACAGCTTTGAAACCATATAAATGAACATTAAGAGTAATAATAACATGTCCTGCACCTCGTGGGGCTCGATGATGTGCAGCAGTTTGGGTTTGGGTTCATCAGGAAGACGAACTCGAAGTCTTTCCGTCGCCATGCCGAGTTCATCGATGGCCGACACGTGATTCCTGAGGACCATCCAGTACTCGTGCAACACCTGAGAGACACACACAGGCAGGGACGCGGGAAGTCAGTCAGAGTTGGGGGTGCGGGGGGGGGGCTAGTAGCGTCTAGCAGCGGTGAAACTGTGGCGCACAGGAGGGGGGGGGGAGGTGCTAGTGGAGCCTCGCAGCGGCGAAACTGTGGCGCGCTTACACTGTAGGTGCGCCGCGTTTGGGAGTGCGGGTGCTAGTGGACCCTGCAGATGGGGGTGCTGCAGCCCCCTCAGCACCCCCCCTTCCCGCGCCCATGCACACAGGTAACTTTATTGATAATAAACACTCGTAAATATATATATTTATTATATCATTGATCCCTGAGGACCATCCAGTACTCGTGCAACACCTGAGAGACACACACAGGTAACTTCATTATTAATACACTGTTATAAATATATATGTATTATTAACGTGATTCCTCGTGCAACGCCTGAGGAAACCAACACCGGGTAACTTTAATCAATACTTTAAAAAATGCGTAATATTTACGATGCAGGGGGGATTTTTCGTAAACAATCTTTCAATGTTTCAGAGATATTTCTGGTTTTCCAAACACACTTTGTAGCTTCAGAATTATTCTAAAATGGAGTTGGAGTTAGTTTTAATGCAGAGTGGGAGACGTGCAGCAGCTCTTTCTTGCAGGTTTCTTATTAAATTAATATAAAATAATAACCCGAGCTTCCTCACTTTCTACTCCTTCTTCCAGGTATCTTTATTAAAATAATAACCTCAGCCCCCTCACCTTGTACTCCTTCTTCCAGCACTCGAGCAGCTCCATGAAGGTGGTTCCTTCCTCCAGCAGATCGTTATCGAGGCGCTTCAGTTTGGCGAAGGCGAGGATTGCCTTCAGGCTTTTCTCCGTCTCGCTGGCGGCCCACAATCCTCTGCTGGTGGTGGGCAGCCGGTCGTCCATCAGACCCCCCTCCTGGTCCTCGATCATCTCCTCGAAGATCGCCGTCTGACCCTTCACCCTGAGGAGCGAGCGGGAAATCATCGTTAAATCACGGTTAGTTTTCATGCAATTAAATGAATATGTATAACCCTAACCCATAGGGCCAAGGACTGAGTGTTGGTACATGCATACAAGAAATATCTAATTAAAATATAAAACTATTGTTAAACTGTTACAAATATATATTTAAATGTCTAAAATAAGGCTAAATGTTTAACGAGAAATATAAATAATATACAAATCAAACAAAAAACATTTCGGAATATTTAAAAAAGATTAAGAAATACATTTTTTAAAGTCAATAAAATTAGAAATAATAAAAAAAGCAAGAAAAAATATAGAATTATAATAAAATAGTTTCTAAGAATATTATAAATCCAATGAAATCAAAATAAATAATTTAAAAGACATACATTTAGAAAAAAATGTTGGAATATTTTAAAACCATTTGAAAAAAAATTTGAACAAGAAAAATACATTTACGAAAAAGCAAGAACAAATAAAGAATTATAATAAACTGTTTAATTAACCCTTCGATGCCCTTAGAGTGGCTGGACCCCGCCCTCCTCCACAAGTGGGTCAAAAAGGACCCGTATTAGAATAATATGTGTTTTTATGCCATTTGTGTCATTTTGGTTTAGAAAAATCACTTGTATAATATTTAGTATTATATTTTGTTTCACACTAGAAATATTTTATATTTAATTTTTCACTATTTATAATTTTAGACATTTTACTTACATTTTGAAAACATTTTTTTGAACATATCGATGCAAAGATCTCCGCAATTCTGAGACCCTCACAGTATTCCAGTCCCTTTTCAAAACTCTTCTCCTCTTGTCTACTCATAGCCCCCCCCCCCATCAATCCATGCCGGTTGATCAGGTGTGATAGTCCTATACCCCCCACCCTAACCTTCCCTTGTATTGTAAAGCGATGTTGAGTCCTTGAGAAGCCCTGTACAAATATAATGTATTATTATTATTGTGAGGGAATAATTCTCCTTTACTCCTAAGATATGTAACCTTATTGCCTGTTGACGTTTACGACCAAACCCTGGCTCTGCTATCTCTCTTAAGGAATGGGAGGCTCCAGCTATCTTGATAAACCAGTTCAACTCTCGGTCACGAAATGGTTTACGGCTGTGGGAACGCTGGCTTTCTAAAGCTCCACAGATGTTTACGCCCCAATATGCTCATTAACTCTCTGTAAACTAGGTCTATCGAGAGAGAGATAGGCTGATCAGAATTGACATGGCAACCCACCCGTGCAGTCAGAACCTTTTGCTGCTGTGACTTGTGATATGAATTCTCCGGCCAGTGTTTGACATCAAAGCTCCAACTCTTCTCGTGTCTCTCTGAGTCCTGACTCTCTATTGCTGCAGAAGTTTCCCTTACACTTATTATTATCATTATACTGACAGGTTTCAGATCTTGTTGTGTAAAATAATCTTCCTGAGAGGTGTCACTTGTGATGTCGTCTGTGTGGTCCACAGTGAATGTAGTCCTGACAGCAAGGTGATAAGAATCATAGGTTCCCAGAGGAAATGCATGCGGGTCATTTTTGACCCACTTATGGAAGCTTGGGGTAGAAATACAAAAACTACAATTTCTTAAAATGTATTAAATTTAAATTAAAAATTTGAATGGGATGATATCCAAAACATGTTTTTTGAGGAATAGCTGGAATATGAAATGATAAAAGAATGTAATTACAAAGATACTCTAAGAAAATCTAAGGGTTCAGAGAATATTCTAAATTCAATAAATAAGAATAAATGTTTAAAAAGTCAATAAAATGAGAAACAAGAAATATACATTTTCGAAAAAGCAAGAACAAATAAATTAATAATAAAAACAAATGTAAGAATTAGAATAAATGTTTAACAAGAGATATATATATACAAAAACAAACAAACACTACTTACGTGTGTGAAAACAGCTTGGACTCGTAGTCAGTGAAGAGCACATCGGCCTTGCAGAAAACACAACTGTAATACAGAGAGAAGGAGATCAGTCATGAAACCCCCTGGAAGAATAATGAGATTATAAGCAGGGGTGCACATAACTTTTTTGCCCTGGTTCTCAAAGGAGCACCTGGAGATGTTGCTTGGTGCTCATCCTTAAAATGAAATAAACCGTAACTTTTGAGGGGTCTTGACTCTATTTGCCAGACAAACGGCACTGAACACACATGCAGAGGTGAACACAGAACACACATGCAGAGGTGAACACAGAACACACATGCAGAGGGGAACACAGAACACACATGCAGAGGTGAACACAGAACACACATGCAGAGGTGAACACAGAACACACATGCAGAGGTGAACACAGAACACACATGCAGAGGTGAACACAGAACACACATGCAGAGGTGAACACAGAACACACATGCAGAGGTGAACACAGAACACACATGCAGAGGTGAACACAGAACACACATGCAGAGGTGAACACAGAACACACATGCAGAGGTGAACACAGAACACACATGCAGAGGTGAACACAGAACACACATGCAGAGGTGAACACAGAACACACATGCAGAGCTGAACACAAGACAACATTAGCATGACCAGTAATCCTACAAGCTGTCATCACTTCCCTCCTGACTGTTCTCCTCACTGTCTTCCTCTCTGTCAGACATGGTAGCTGATGATGTAGGCCTACTTCTTCCTCTCTGGTTGAGTCTGCGATTAGCTGCTTGCATCCACAAGTCAACAGCTGGGTTTGGGTCGAAAGTCTCTGTTGTCATCTTAGACAAGTGGATGTAATCCAATAAGTATGTGAACATAACCAATAACCTACCATAGCCAATAACAAATGAATGTAACTTATTTTATTTATGTTGTTCATTCATATTTTATTTAACCAGTTAACATTTATTTATGCATTTTTTTTTTATCTCTCCAGTTTTAAAGGATATGTTTGGTTACTGTCCTATAGTATACACTGGAATGATTTGAAACCTGTTTATCCCAATAATTATAAAGGAGTGCCTTGGAAATATGTGTTTACATAAATTGTGATCAAACCGTTTGAACTTAGACTAAAGTGAACTATCTAAACACTCAGAGTCCTTTACCTCACTGAGCTGTAGTTATCAGCCTCTCAGTCTGACTGGAGAGGACTCTCCCTCCACATTATTGTAGAAACATCTTCTTCTTATATCCGCAGCTAGCACCAGATGCTAATAACAACAGCGCCGGTACCGGTGCACCCTCCCTCTCTCTCTCCCTCGCTCGCTCCCACGCTCGCACTTTGGCTGTGAGCTGCGGGGCGCCAGATAAGCCAACATCCCCCATTTTCATCACTTAGAGCGCCCATCGTACAGGGCAAATGAAAAGTGTAACCGGGATGAAAAGGGTGTTACTTTTACTTAATTATGAATATTGTTACATCAAGGCCGAAAATTAGGATGAGCCCCAACGGTCAAAAATGTTTTTTTCCCTCCCAGAACTGTCAGCGCAGCGCCTCCACAGATCTGGCGCCCTAGGCGAACATCTATTACGCCAGTGCTACGGGCCGGCCCCGAGTTCATATGCAACTCGCACATATCTTTTTCTCTCTCTCCTCTCTCCTCTCTTTTCTCTTCTCCCTTCTCTCTCTCCTCTCTTTTCTCTTCTCCCTTCTCTCTCTTCTCTCTCTCCCTCTCTCTCTCTCTCTCGCTCTCTCTCAATGTTGGTACGCAAATGCGCTTTTTTTCAAATGACCCGGTGCTCTTTTTTTGGCGGAGTGTGCGCATGCGCACCTGTTATGTGCAGCCCTGATTATAGGATATATCAGATGGTCTTAACCTGCAATTCAGTAAATCGGTTTCTCCTTTTCTTGCGTTATTGAGTTATTTCTTGACACAAGTGTAGTGTTTACGTTGAGTTTACTAACCCAATTTCCCGCTGGAAGAATCAAGTCATTATGTCTTGTGTTTTAGATTATAAAAGGTTATATTACGTGTTTAGAGGTAGTCTCTGGGGTCTCAGGTGGCAGATGGTGACCTCCTCGATGACCTCTCGCGACGCCGGGCCCTCCAGCTTCTTCACGGCGTCCTGAACCGTCTTCTGGCTCTTCATCAGGTCCTGGATCTGAGAGGTGAGGAGGAGCTGAAGACCCACAGCGTCCCTGAACCTGCAGGAGGACGGGGTCAGGTTTATGGCCAGGTACGTCGACACTGCTGTGGTGTGTGGCGGTGCAAAGTGAGGCGAGCCAACACCTATGTATTTATATATTATTGATCAGTGTACTTGTCTGCCATGCTGAGTTTGCTGGCCTGCTGCTTGTAGCTCGACGTCAGATCGTTCTTGATACGAGAAACCAGCTCGTCATCGGTGGAGCATCGAACCGCCCGCTGCACCACCTCCAGCCACCAGGGGGAGTTCTGCTTCACCTGGACACAGGTAACAGGAGGAGGAGAAAAGACGGCTTTAAGAACAGCGTTATTACTAATGATGAGATAAAGAGAGATGTGTTCCTGTCTCGCGGTGCATTTCATATCTAAAAATAATTGGTAAAAATTATGTATTTATTTTTATTTTTATATATTTATTTTTTAATATAATTTTAATATTTTTTTTAATTCATTTTATTTATTCTTTATTAAAAACATTTAATGTATTTATTTTATTTATTTGTTCATTGATTTAATTATTATTATTTATTTTAATTGCGCGTAAATTCTGTGTTTTTATTTAGTTACAAGTGGTTTTAAAGATCCCGTGGCCATTTCTCCTGATCACAGCTCCATCGTTGAGGTCGACTAGAATAGATTCACTTTGTTCAATGTTCCAAACTCTCATTGGTTTCTCACAGCATCTCTGATAGTCTGTGTATTCACTCTCTGTCCTACACGGCTTGTTGGAGCTCTAAACCTGTCTCTCCTAAACCTGTCCCTCCTAAACCCTGTCCCTCCTAAACCTGTCCCCCCTAAAACTGTCCCTCCTAAAACCTGTCCCTCCTAAACCTGTCCCTCCTAGACCTGTCCCCCCTAAACCTGTCCCCCCTAAACCTGTCCCTCCTAAACCTGTCCCCCTAAACCTGTCCCCCTAAACCTGTCCCCCCTAAACCTGTCCCTCCTAAACCCTCCTAAACCTGTCCCCCCTAAACCTGTCCCTCCTAAACCCTGCTAAACCTGTCCCCCCTAAACTTGTCCCTCCTAAACCTGTCCCCCCTAAACCTGTCCCTCCTAAACCCTCCTAAACCTGTCCCCCCTAAACCTGTCCCTCCTAAAACCTGTCCCCCCTAAACCTGTCCCTCCTAAACCTGTCCCCCCTAAACCTGTCCCTCCTAAACCTGTCCCTCCTAAACCTGTCCCCCCTAAACCTGTCCCTCCTAAACCTGTCCCCCCTAAACCTGTCCCCCCTAAACCTGTCCCTCCTAAACCTGTCCCTCCTAAACCTGTCCCCCTAAACCTGTCCCTCCTAAACATGTCCCTCCTAAACCTGTCCCTCCTAAACCTGTCCCCCCTTAACCTGTCCCCCCTAAACCCTGTCCCTCCTAAACCTGTCCCTCCTAAACCTGTCCCTCCTAAACCTGTTACCCCTAAAGCCCCTGTCACACTGTCCCGAAATTGACACCCGATGGACACACGAATATGGAATTGTGAATTTCGCACGAAGATGGCCCCGAACCACACACGAAGGCAACATTTACATTACATTTAAGACATACAACTGCAACGAAAGTAACACAAACAATTATGTTACAGTACTATGATACTGTACTGATATCTTCAGACTTTGTTCTTTACTTTATCCGTCGTTATATGTAGAAAATATTACGTTTTCTCCGTAATGTTGTTTCCATAGCAACAACAATTTCCTGTCAACTGTCCTTCAAAATAATATATTATATCCTTTTTAGTTTCACAGAACACAAATTGGGTTATTTACATAATATATTTACATGATTTTGTTGTGCAATAAAAAACCCGATGGACACACGATAAAGGAAATGTTCAAATTCGGCTGTGATCGTAGCAACATCGGGCCATTCGTGAGGGCATCTTAAGCCATCGTATGACCGCCGGTGGAGTTTCTCAGGCTCCGGCAGCAACTTCGTGAGCGGTGGCAAAATCTTTGGCATGCCAAAAAATTGCCGAAGGACCTTGAGAAGGTTCATTTTCGTGTTGAATTCGTGTGTAAATGTTGCCCTTCGTAAGGCCATCGTGAGGGCATCTTGTTATCATCGGTGCCATCGGGCATTCGCCCCGATCAGAGTGAGGGCGAATGCACCGATGATAACACGAAGATGACACGATTTGACAAGATGCCCTCACGAGTGCCTTACGAAGTTGCCGCTCACGAAGTTGCTGCCGGAGCCTGAGAAACTCCACCGGCGGTCATACGATGGCTTAGATGCCCTCACGAATGGCCCAATGTTGCTACGATCACAGCCGAATTTGAACATTTCCTTTATCGTGTGTCCATCGGGTGTCAATTTCGGGACAGTGTGACAGGGCCTTAAACCTGTCCCTCCTAAACCCTCCTAAACCTGTCCCCCCTAAACCTGTCCCTCCTAAACCCTCCTAAACCTGTCCCCCCTAAACCTGTCCCTCCTAAACCTGTCCCTCCTAAACCTGTCCCCCCTAAACCTGTCCCTCCTAAACCTGTCCCCCCTAAACCTGTCCCCCCTAAACCTGTCCCCCCTAAACCTGTCCCTCCTAAACCTGTCCCCCCTAAACCTGTCCCTCCTAAACCTGTCCCCCCTAAACCTGTCCGCCCTAAACCTGTCCCTCCTAAACCTGTCCCTCCTAAACCTGTACCCCCTAAACCTGTCCCCCTAAACCTGTCCCTCCTAAACCTGTCCCCCTAAACCTGTCCCTCCTAAACCTGTCCCCCCCTAAACCTGTCCCTCCTAAACCTGTCCCCCCTAAACCTGTCCCTCCTAAACCTGTCCCCCCTAAACCTGTCCCTCCTAAACCTGTCCCCCCTAAACCTGTCCCTCCTAAACCTGTCCCTCCTAAACCTGTCCCTCCTAAACCTGTCCCCCCTAAACCTGTCCCCCCTAAACCTGTCCCTCCTAAACCTGTCCCTCCTAAACCTGTCCCCCCTAAACAACCCAATAGCATGCATTACGCTGTCCAAACACAGAGCAGGTGGTCTCTCACTTTGCGTCTCAGCTCCTTGATGCTCTGCAGAACCGGCTGCAGCGCCTGCAGAGCGTCGGAAACCTCAGAGTCGTATTTAGTCATATAATGCCGTCTCAGCTGCTCTGCCTGAAGGGAGAGGGACACCATGAAGGGAATAGAAACAGGTCCAATGTAACGAGGGATTCATGGGAGCTGCAGGCGCCAATCCTTTAGAACAGGGGGGTCAAACTCAATTTCATCACGGGCCACATCAGCATTATGGGTGCACTCAAAGGGCCGGTTGTAACTTTAAGACTATATAAACATACATATATAAATATATAATATATATACAATAATGTATTATATTACTTTATTTCCTCTGCATTGGATTATTATTGGATAGGGTAAACACTTCAGAAATAACTACGTCTGAAAGAAGAAGCCTAGGGCAAATAAGTGCAAGTCTCTTCAGTGAGAATGTCACAAAATTATTTTAAAAGAAAACCAAATTCTGAAAAAAAGTGACATTTTGAAAAAAAAGTTTAAAAAAAAAATTCTAATGTAAGATGCATTGTGGGACATGTAGTTTATGGACATGGTGCATCTGTAAATCGGCCTGTAACCGTATAATAAACATATTACATTCTTTCAGGGCTCTTGCGGGCCACATGAAATGAAGTCGCGGGCCGGATTTGGCCCCCGGGCCTTGAGTTTGACCCCCCTGCTTTAGAAAGATAAATGAGTTACAGAATTCAGAACAGATTTCTAGGGTTTATTAATGAACACTGTATTTTAAGAGTAAAGAGGAATATGACCTCGTCACTGAGTCGGTCGTCTCTCAGCGTCGGAGGTATCCCAGAATGCTTTGCTTTCAGCAGCTCCATCAGGTTGTGGGTCGCATGAAGTCTCTGAGTTTCCACAACAAGGAAGAAAGACAGAATGTGATCAGTTTAAAAAACGTGCAACATTTATAAAAATTTAGAATTTCTGACATTTTCTGAAAAAAATGCTAAATCCTGAAATGTTCAGAAGGAGAACATTTTTATTTTATACTGAGAAATAAAAAAAATTCTCAGAAAATATAAACAATTCTGTAAAAAAGTGGACATTTGAGAAAAAGTCAAAACTCTGTGAAAAAGTCAAAATTCAAAGAAATAAATCAGAACATTTGTAATAATTCTGCGAAAGTAAGAATTCTTGACAAACAAAGAAAAAAATTGAAAATTGTGAGAAAGAAAGTCATTCTTCTTTTATTTATTTTGGATTTTAAATACTACTTTTACTTTCATAAATTAAATGTTCCACGTCTCGAGACTTTTGGGAGATTTATTTGAGATTAAAAACAGATGAAGTTAGTGTCTACATTTTTTGGGGTGTTTCTATCCTTTATGCAAATATTTTATTCTCTCTTTGTGGATTTTGGACTATTTGGAGTTTTCTTTCCACGAGTCTGAACGAAGCTCATCAGCCCGTGTTAGCATGTGTGTCTATGCATTATAGTGTGTGTGCATTAGTAGGGTGTGTGTCTTTATAATAGTGTGTGTGTGTGAGAGTCCTTCACATGTAGATGAGTGATGTGTGTGTGTGGCTGTGGGTGTGTTTGTTTGTGTGTGTACCTGCAGTGAGTCGGTCTTCAGGCGTCCTTTGTGTTCCTCTGAGGATCGAAGCACTTCTCTGTACATCTCCACGGCCTCCAAATACTCTCCTGCAGCGTGAGAGGACACACACACACACAAATATATATATATATATGAGAGAGTGTGTGTGTGTGTGTGTGTGTGTGTGTGTGTGTGTGTGTGTGTGTGTGTGTGTGTGTGTGTGTGTGTGTGTGTGTGTGTGTGTGTGTGTGTGTGTAGAGGTGGGGAAGTAGTGGAGTGCAAATACTTTGTTACCGTACTTAAGTAAATGTTTCTGGTATCAGTACTTTACTCCACTACTTATTTTTATGACCACATTTTACTTTCTACTTCTTACATGTTGAACTCAAATACCTGTACTTTCTACTTCTTACATGTTGAACTCAAATACCTGTACTTTCTACTTCTTACATGTTGAACTCAAATACCTGTACTTTCTACTTCTTACATGTTGAACTCAAATACCTGTACTTTCTACTTCTTACATGTTGAACTCAAATACCTGTACTTTCTACTTCTTACATGTTGAACTCAAATACCTGTACTTTCTACTTCTTACATGTTGAACTCAAATACCTGTACTTTCTACTTCTTACATGTTGAACTCAAATACCTGTACTTTCTACTTCTTACATGTTGAACACAAATACCTGTACTTTCTACTTCTTACATGTTGAACTCAAATACCTGTACTTTCTACTTCTCACATGTTGAACCCAAATACCTGTACTTTCTACTTCTTACATGTTGAACTCAAATACCTGTACTTTCTACTTCTTACATGTTGGACTCAAATACCTGTACTTTCTACTTCTTATATGTTGAACTCAAATACCTGTACTTTCTACTTCTTACATGTTGAACCCAAATACCTGTACTTTCTACTTCTTACATGTTGAACTCAAATACCTGTACTTTCTACTTCTTACATGTTGAACTCAAATACCTGTACTTTCTACTTCTTACATGTTGAACACAAATACCTGTACTTTCTACTTCTCACATGTTGAACACAAATACCTGTACTTTCTACTTCTTACATGTTGAACACAAATACCTGTACTTTCTACTTCTCACATGTTGAACACAAATACCTGTACTTTCTACTTCTTACATGTTGAACTCAAATACCTGTACTTTCTACTTCTTACATGTTGAACTCAAATACCTGTACTTTCTACTTCTTACATGTTGAACTCAAATACCTGTACTTTATACTTCTTACATGTTGAACTCAAATACCTGTACTTTCTACTTCTTACATGTTGAACTCAAATACCTGTACTTTCTACTTCTCACATGTTGAACTCAAATACCTGTACTTTCTACTTCTTACATGTTGAACCCAAATACCTGTACTTTCTACTTCTTACATGTTGAACTCAAATACCTGTACTTTCTACTTCTTACATGTTGAACTCAAATACCTGTACTTTCTACTTCTCACATGTTGAACCCAAATACCTGTACTTTCTACTTCTTACATGTTGAACTCAAATACCTGTACTTTCTACTTCTTACATGTTGAACTCAAATACCTGTACTTTCTACTTCTTACATGTTGAACACAAATACCTGTACTTTCTACTTCTTACATGTTGAACTCAAATACCTGTACTTTCTACTTCTTACATGTTGAACTCAAATACCTGTACTTTCTACTTCTCACATGTTGAACCCAAATACCTGTACTTTCTACTTCTTACATGTTGAACTCAAATACCTGTACTTTCTACTTCTTACATGTTGAACTCAAATACCTGTACTTTCTACTTCTTACATGTTGAACTCAAATACCTGTACTTTCTACTTCTTACATGTTGAACTCAAATACCTGTACTTTCTACTTCTTACATGTTGAACTCAAATACCTGTACTTTCTACTTCTTACATGTTGAACCCAAATACCTGTACTTTCTACTTCTTACATGTTGAACTCAAATACCTGTACTTTCTACTTCTCACATGTTGAACTCAAATACCTGTACTTTCTACTTCTTACATGTTGAACCCAAATACCTGTACTTTCTACTTCTTACATGTTGAACCCAAATACCTGTACTTTCTACTTCTTACATGTTGAACCCAAATACCTGTACTTTCTACTTCTCACATGTTGAACTCAAATACCTGTACTTTCTACTTCTTACATGTTGAACTCAAATACCTGTACTTTCTACTTCTTACATGTTGAACCCAAATACCTGTACTTTCTACTTCTCACATGTTGAACCCAAATACCCGTACTTTCTACTTCTCACATGTTGAACCCAAATACCTGTACTTTCTACTTCTTACATGTTGAACCCAAATACCTGTACTTTCTACTTCTTACATGTTGAACTCAAATACCTGTACTTTCTACTTCTCACATGTTGAACTCAAATACCTGTACTTTCTACTTCTTACATGTTGAACCCAAATACCTGTACTTTCTACTTCTCACATGTTGAACTCAAATACCTGTACTTTCTACTTCTTACATGTTGAACACAAATACCTGTACTTTCTACTTCTTACATGTTGAACTCAAATACCTGTACTTTCTACTTCTTACAGGTTGAACTCAAATACCTGTACTTTCTACTTCTTACTTGTTGAACTCAAATACCTGTACTTTCTACTTCTTACAGGTTGAACTCAAATACCTGTACTTTCTACTTCTTACATGTTGAACTCAAATACCTGTACTTTCTACTTCTTACAGGTTGAACTCAAATACCTGTACTTTCTACTTCTCACATGTTGAACCCAAATACCTGTACTTTCTACTTCTTACATGTTGAACTCAAATACCTGTACTTTCTACTTCTTACATGTTGAACCCAAATACCTGTACTTTCTACTTCTTACATGTTGAACCCAAATACCTGTACTTTCTACTTCTCACATGTTGAACTCAAATACCTGTACTTTCTACTTCTCACATGTTGAACTCAAATACCTGTACTTTCTACTTCTTACATGTTGAACCAAAATACCTGTACTTTCTACTTCTTACATGTTGAACTCAAATACCTGTACTTTCTACTTCTCACATGTTGAACTCAAATACCTGTACTTTCTACTTCTTACATGTTGAACCCAAATACCTGTACTTTCTACTTCTCACATGTTGAACTCAAATACCTGTACTTTCTACTTCTTACATGTTGAACACAAATACCTGTACTTTCTACTTCTTACATGTTGAACTCAAATACCTGTACTTTCTACTTCTTACAGGTTGAACTCAAATACCTGTACTTTCTACTTCTCTCCTTTTCCAAACAGCTGGTTCCTTTAGTCTGAATGTGTGTTTGATGCGTGATCATTATTCTTTAGAGTCATTGCGTGCCTATTGATTTGAACACGATCCGTGTATCCATCATTTCCTGGTCTTCTCTAAAGAAGAGGGACCAATGGAAACGTTGTCATGTTGCCGTTGTTCAGCATGGAAACATTCATTAGCTAACAATGACATTATTGTTCTATTAATATAAAGGGAGGTCAGGTACTCTTTAAAACAGCTGCTAGTTATGGGTACTTTTTACTGAAGTACATTTCAAAGTTCTTTACTTTGACTTGAGTAAAGAAGTTTAGTCAGTACTTCTACTTTCACCAGAGTATCTTTAAACACGAGTATCTGTACTTCTACTTGAGTACAGGATGTGTGTACTTCTACTTGAGTAAAGGATGTGTATACTTCTACTTGAGTAAAGGATGTGTGTACTTCTACTTGAGTACAGGATGTGTGTACTTCTACTTGAGTAAAGGATGTGTGTACTTCTACTTGAGTACAGGATGTGTGTACTTCTACTTGAGTAAAGGATGTGTGTACTTCTACTTGAGTACAGGATGTGTGTACTTCTACTTGAGTAAAGGATGTGTGTCTGTCTGTGTGTGAAGTCAACTTGGAAAATCCTCACAGGAGATCAAGGGGTTAAAAAGTCGGGCTGATTGACAGCCGTAAAAAGAGAAGCAGCACAGGTGCAGCCGTAACAAGAGAAGCAGCACTGGTGCAGCCGTAACAAGAGAAGCAGCACTGGTGCAGCCATCACAAG